AAAAAAAAGAAGAAGAAGAAGAAGAAGAAAGATCACCCTACTAATTAATATGCATCAAGATTTTGGGCATATCTTTTATCGTAAATGTTACGAATCCCTCATTGAATAAAATAGACCTTATAATGGTTTATAATAGACATGAATTATTCCTCTCATTGTGATTTGCTTTTGAGATAGAATCCCATGAATTTTGATATGGTATTAGAGTCCAAGCATCCGATTCAAAAATGGGATCCAGTCAAGATCGATAAACCAAAATAGCCACTAAACATCAAAATAAATAAACCAAAAACATAAATAAATAATAATGCTTTGGAGATATGGAAATATTTATTTTTAAGAGAGAATTTTTTCAAAATCATAATCTTCTTGATCCAAGTGTGGAAGATCACCATGCATGAATTAAAACGTATTTGAATCATTGGAGATATGTTCAAGTTTATATATTACATATTGTCAAGATGTTTTTTTCTCCAACATAATTGTACGTCTCTACCTCACAAATATTCAAATAACTTTGTTAATTATATGGTTTCTTTTATATTTATCCAACAATTCTTCAATGAAACAAAGTGGCTTATAGAGTTGTGTAATAGATGGAGGTAGGATTTAAACATATAACTTTTAAGAGAGGTGAGCAATGTCCTATCAAATTTTTATCCTATTCTATCGTTTATTTTCTAATAACTTTTTTTCCTTGGGTTCATGGTGTTAAGGATCCCGCACATTGAAAGGATAGAGGATGTAACAAGGTTTATAATAGACCCGAACTATTATTCTCATTGTCAATTGGTTTTGAGATGGAACCTTATAAATATTAATATAGTATCAGAGCCAAAACAATTCAAACGAGCATCCGGTTAAAGAATGAGATCCGACCAAGATCGATATACTAAAAGAGCCACAATTTTGAGGGGCCATATTAAGAATCTGATACAGTATCTAAGTAAGATCTAGGTTTAAAGTTATGTTTTCCTTATGTTTCTTATCTTTCAGACTGAGCCTGAAGGTTTGGGCCTCTTTCTTTAGTTGTAATCTTTTTTTTTGTTGTTTTCTTTTGGAATCTCTTTTAGGGCCAATATTTTTGGCAACCCTAGTTTTAAGCTGTCGATAGAGATGGATGAAGCAGTTTTTGAAGAAAAAAAAAAGAAATATTACAAAGCATCGGCAGTTCTAGCTTCAGCCTAGACCGATTGCTCTTCATTTATGTCAATTTCATATTGTTCTTCTACATTAAAGTGGTACCGAATCTGATAATCTCGTTGAAGAAGCAATATTAAGAGGAAATCGATAAGGAAGAGAGTTTCGTCAACAAGCACAACAAAGGAGGGGAGAGCACAGTGAGTATAAAATTAAAATTGATCTTCCTTATTTTGATGGCACACTAGATATTGAAAAATTTCTAGATTGGTTACAACACGTGGAAAATTTTTTTGAGTACATGGAAATACCGGGAGAGAGTAGAGTTAAACTTGTTGCATATAAACTCAAACGAGGAGCATCAGCATGGTGGGAACAATTTAAAGCAAATAGAAGAAGAGATGGTAAGGAGAAAATACGTACTTGGCCAAAGATGAGGCGCTATTTGAGGAAACATTTCTTGCCATTAGATCATGATCAAGTGTTGTATCAACAATATCAACATTGCCAACAAAAAAACAGAAGCGCACGTGAGTATACAGCTGAGTTTAATCGACTAAATGCATTAAATAATTTGAATGAAACAGAAAGACAAGTAGCAGCAAGATATATTTGGGGGTTTAAAATCAATTATTCAAGATCAATTGTCTTTAAAGTCCATGAACACCCTGTCCAAAGCCGTGACACTTGCGCGAAAAGTAGAGGAAACTAGCACCAGAACAAACAATCGTTATTTTCAACATAAAAAGGGTTTCGGAGAAGGTGTCAGTGATAAAGGAAAACAAATTGCCAATCAAAATCAGCAAGTAGCAGCGAAAACTTTGGGAGACCCTCCAAAATAGCATGGAAATATAGGAAAACAGCAGCAGAAAAGTAATAACCCGTATATTAAAGCCAACCCAATTCGTTGCTATAAATGTAACCAACAAGGCCATCGTTCAAGTGAGGCCACTTAGTTGAGGAGGTTGAGACTCCTACAGAGAACAACAGGTAATTAAACCCCAGACCAAAATGACATTGAGGAGGTTTTTGGTGATGAAGGGGATAGAGTGTCATGTGTTGTTCAAAGGGTTCTTCTCCTACCAAAGGAATCGGTGAAATCACAACGCAATCAAATTTTCAGAACAAGATGCACTATTGAGAAAAAAGTTTGTGATGTAATAGTGGACAACGGTAGTACGAAAAATATTGTTGCTCGTTCCTTAGTGAAGGCTCTAAAGTTACCAACTGAAAAACATCCCCAACCATACAAAATTGGTTGGATTAAGAAAGGAGGAGAGCATAAAGTATTGGATGTGTGTAAGATCCAATTTTCTATTGGAAAATCTTACCAAGATTCTATAAAATGCGATGTAGTTGGTATGGATGCATGTCACTTGTTGCTAGGGAGGCCACGGCAATATGATAAAGGGGTGGTTTATGATGGAAGGGAGAACACTTATAAGTTCAAGTGGGGAAATAAAAGCATTATTTTGTTGCCTACATTTGAGCCACCTAACCCACCACCTATGCAACCAAAGCCTTTACTATTGGCTGTTCGTGGAAGTAATTTTTCATATCGACTCAATGATATATCATCTCCCCTATTTATTCTCATGGTAGAGGAACATGTGGGTTCGAAACATGTTGACACTAGAATAGAAGGCTTATTGGAGGAATTTTCAGATGTTTTAGCTGCTGATTTACCTATAGAATTACCTCCACTTCGTGATATTCAGCATTGTATTGACTTGGTATCGGGGGCGAGTCTTCCTAATTTACCTCATCACCGAATGAGCCCAAAAGAGCATGAAATACTACAACAACAGGTTGATGAGTTGCTGGAAAAATAGTTTATTAAAGTGAGTATGAGCCCTTGTGCCGTCCCGGCCTTAGTAGTTCCAAAGAAAGATGGTTCATGGCGCATGTGTATTGATAGTAGGGCCATGAACAAGATAACGGTGAAATACCGATTCCCAATTCCCCGCTTAGAGGACTTACTTGACAAACTTGAGGGTTCATGCTTGTTTTCTCGCTTGGATTTACGGAGTGGCTACCACCAAATTCGTATTAGACAAGGAGATGAGTGGAAGACGGCATTTAAAACCCGAGAAGGGTTATATGAGTAAAAGGTGATGCCATGTGGGTTAAGCAACGCCCCTAGCACGTTTATGAGATTAATGAATCATGTTTTGAAACCGTTTATCGGTCGGATAGCAGTGGTCTATTTTGATGACATCTTGATTTTTAGCAAGTCTCAGGCCGAACACTATGATCACCTACGGGAAATTTTGTTGACACTTCGGGCATATAAACTATATCTAAATCAGAAAAAGTGTGAATTTTGTACTGAACAGTTGCTGTTTTTGGGATTCATTGTTGGGAAGGATGGAATTCAAATGGATCCGGCTAAAGTTAAAGCTATTGCGGAGTGGCCGTCACCTAAAAACGTCACTGAGGTACGTAGCTTTCATGGTTTAGCTACTTTTTATAGAAGATTCATTCGCAATTTTAGCAGTATTGTGGCTCCCTTGACAAATTGTTTGAAGAAAGGTAGATTTAAATGGGAGAGTGAGGAAGAAGCTAGTTTTCGTTTAATTAAATCGAAAATAGTTTCAGCTCCCATACTTGTTTTACCAAATTTTGATAAAGTCTTTGAGCTTGAAACTGATGCATGTTTGACGGGTATTGGAGCTGTTTTGATGCAAGAAGGAAAACAAGTAGAGTTTTTTAGTGAGAAGTTAAGTGAAGCTAGGCAAAATTGGTCTACCTATGAGCAAGAATTGTTTGCTATTATTCGTACTTTTCAACATTGGGAGCACTATCTAATTCAAAGAGAGTTCATTCTTCATAGTGATCACCATGCTCTTAAGTTCCTTGACTCTCAAAAGCACTTCAAAAGAATGTTTGCTCGTTGGGTAATGTATTTGCAGAAGTTTCAGTTTGTTTTTCGGCATAAACCCGGTAAGCAAAATGTTGTGGCTGATGCATTAAGTAGGAGGACCCATCTCCTTGTTACTTTGCAAACTGAAGTTATTGGGTTTGATTGCCTGAAGGATTTATATGTCAATGATTGTGATTTTGAGAAAATATGGGATTCGTGTATAAAAAACAAAAGATGTGGAGATTTTTTTATTCACCACGGATTTTTGTTCAAGGGAACTTTGCTATGTATCCCAAACACTTCCTTGAGGACACAACTTATCTAGGAAATGCATTCTAGTGGATTATCTGCCCATACAGGAAGAGACAAAACAATTCAGCTTGTGAAAGCTCGATTTTTTTAGCCACATCTTAAAAGGGATGTTGGAAAATTTGTGCAAAGATGTGGGACTTGTCAATCAGCTAAGGGAGCTTCCCAAAATACAGGACTTTACACCCCTTTGCCCATTCCTAACGACATTTGGGAGGACCTTTCCATGGATTTTATTCTTGGGTTGCCTAGAACACAAAGATGTGTGAATTCTATTTTTGTGGTGGTTGATAGATTCTAAAAAATGGCACATTTTTTGCCGTGCAAGAAGACATTTGATGCTAGTGCTGTTGCAAAGTTATTTTTTCGTGAAATTGTGCGCCTACATGGGATCCCTAAATCTATAACATCGGATAGGGACGTAAAATTTGTTAGTCACTTTTGGAGAGTCTTATGAGTCTATTTAACACAACCTTAAAGTTCAGCAGTGCTTATCATCCACAAACTGATGGACAGACCGAGGTTGTAAATCGAACGGTTGGAAATATGCTACGTTGCTTGGTTGGGGACAATCCTAAACAGTGGGACCTATTTTTGCCTCAAGCAGAATTTTCATATAACGATATGCCCAACAGATCTATAGCATTCAGCCCATTTCAGATTGTTTATACAAAAGTGCCAAATCATACCGTCGATCTCATACAACCAAGATATCAGACTTGTAAAAAGGCAATTACCATGACAGATGAAATGATACACATCCGAGATACTGTTCAACATAATCTTCAGCAAGCAAATGCACAGTACATAGAGCGAGCCGACAAGAAACGAAGGGAGAAAATATTTGAGATTGGAGATCTCGTCATGGCTTACCTTCGACGTGAGAGACACCCAATTGGTTCATATTCGAAGTTGAAACCCCGCAAAATTGGTCCCTACAAAATTGTAAAAAATATAAGCAACAACGCTTATGTTATCGAGCTACCACAGGAAATACACACGTCACCTACCTTCAATGTCGCCGATCTATTCGCCTATCACCCGCCGGATGCTGCCATGACAATCGAAGAAGACGGTGAAAGTTCGGCATTCATTGACGAACCCCATACTGCCGCACCATACGCCGCTTACATGACAGCCGCCCTAGATGAAGATCCGACGCCGGAGGAGGCCATGCAGTTGTGGAAGATTTAGAATTGCGCCGAAGTTGTAGCTGTGGGAGTCAGAAAGCGAGGACGCTTTTTTTTTCTTTTAGTGGGAGACAAGCTGATTCGGGAAAATTGACAAAATAAGCTTCCTGTGAGGCCCTCTTAAGTTTTTTCTAGTCATTGCTGACATCACCTACTTTGCCAAATGACCTTCCATGCCCCTCTTTACTCTATTGCCAAAAGTTTTTAGTTTTCGTCCTTTTCCTCCCTTATTTATCTTTTTCTTTATTTCTTCTCCCTACCTCCATCTTCCTACTTTTCCAGATTTTTTTCTTCTTTCTTTCTCTTTTCCATGTCTTCCGCAAGCATGAGTTTTTTCTTGTTTACTAAACCATAAAAAAAAACCTAAATCTCTCACCATTTTTTAAATAGCAGCCTCCATAATTCTCGTGACCTTCAACAATTGCCGGCAACGGATGCATCAAAGCCGACGAGGGAGGTCGTTCGTCAAAGAAAGAGGCTCAGGAGAGGAAGAAGTTATGATGGGATGGGGAAGGAGATAGAGAGAGAGAGTTGAATAAGAGAAAGTTGAGAGAGAGAGAATTGAGCGAGAGAGAGAAAACGAGAGATGAGTGAGCGAGAGCGAGATTGAGCGAGAAACGATTTTAAAAATTGGAATGGAGAGACGAAATCTCAAATTTAAAATACTAATCATTGAAGATTTTTTTAACTAAAATTTAAAATTATAAAATCGCATTAATTTTAGTATATTCAAATTTGAAATTTAATTTAGATTTGTTTTCTTAATTGTTTTTTTCCTATTTAATTATTTGAACGAATCATTTGAAAAATTAACATAAATCTCTCTTTTAATATCTACCCTAATTTTGATTAGGATTAGAATTCAAATTTATAATTTAATTAGGTAGTCCTCCTTTAATAGTAAATTTAAAATTTTATCTAATTAGGTGGAAGTATAAAAAAAAAATCCTGTTTTTTCTATTTCTTCCTCATAATATAAATCTGCTCCTTTAATCATAAATTTAAAATTTAATTTAACTCAATTTGGTGGAGTAAAGAAAAAAAAAAAGAAAAAGAAAACAATCCCTTCTTTTCCTAACCATCCCATTTTTTTCGTTATTATCACCACTTCTTCACCGCTCTCTCGATCTCGCTCTCGCTCTGTCCTTCTCGATCTCACTATCGATGACGTCGCTCTCGCTTTGTCCCTCTCTCTTCTCTACTCTCTCTCTTCTCCCCTCCCTCCTCGACGCATTTGGTTTCATGGAGAAGAAGATAGTCTGTACAAGAGGGACGTGCAAGAGATATAGAAGGAAAGTTTTTGAAATCTTGAAAATTTGATTTTAGAAGAGCGGGTGAAAGAGTTGGGAAAAATAATAAGGAAAGTTTTATCTTATTTCATATGCAAATTATTCTCTCCCTCTTTCTCGCCGCCGGCAATGTTGTCATCGTTCAACAATGTCGCCGGAGAGGCCACCAGGGAGGCGCAAGAGCTCGGGATGGAAGCAGCGGACGACAACCGAACGGGACCTCCACTCGTTGAATTCCTAGCGGAGACGCCAAAAACTGGTGTGTGTTGTGTAGAAATCGTGGACAAGATCAAGCAAATCTAAGAAATGGAGGAGAGAGGAGGGGAGAGAGAAGAGAGATGGAGTCTGGAAGAGATGAAAAAGTAAGGAGGGGTATGAAATGTCATTTGACAAAGTATGTGATGTCAGCAGTGACTAGAAAACTTTGTTTTGGAGAGGGCGATTAGAAAACTTAAGAGGCACCTACAGAAGGTTTATTTTGTCAATTTTCCCTGATTCGGGATCTAATTAAGATCTAGGTTTAAAGTTATGTTTTCCTTATGTTTCTTATCTTTTAAACTGGGCCTGAAGGTTTGGGCCTGAAGGTTTGGGCCTCTTTCTTTGGTTGTAAGTCTTTTTTTGTTGTTTTCTTTTGGAATCTCTTGTAGGCCCAATATTTTTGGCAACCCTAGTTTTAAGCCGTCGATAGAGATGGATGAAGCAGTTTTTGAAGAAAAAAAAAAGAAATATTACAAAGCATCGGCAGTTCTAGCTTCAGCCTAGACGGATTGCTCTTCATTTCTGTCAATTTCATATTGTTCTTCTACACTAGAATCTCACATGCAACAAGGTTTTGAGATGAAACCTATAAATATCTATCACTCATTAATCTAATTAATATATGTTAACATTTAAGCAACGATGCAAATAATAATTTTTGAGAATCAAATTCAAAAGCGTAAGAACTCATGTTATTTTCTTTTGAATTGTACTAAAATAGACAACCAATGCTTAAGTTGTAATTTAATCTAAAAAACAAGAGTTAAAACACATTTCTTGCTCTTTTATTTTAATTCTAGTAATATTCTAGTGCTTCTATTAATTATTTTGAAAATATTAGAAGTAGGGAAACAAACAAAACTTAATAACTTTTCATTTTCAAAATTTATATAAATTTTAGAGAAAATTTGTAAAAATAAGAAACGAATAAAAAACAATCACTCCCAACTAATCTTGTCTTAGATAAACCAATAATTAAATAAATAATGAGATTCACATGCCTCTAATAAATTAAAAACGCCTAACATGAAACATAGTTCAGCAATAATTTGATACCTACTCATTTCTTTTAGGTGGGAGGTTTAAACTTCTATTCCCTAATTTATTGTACTAAAAAAATAATAATAAATAAAGTAAAAACAAATTAAAATCGAAGAGCTTAATTAAATAATGTAGAACACCAACATACAAATATATTTTTCAAAAACTAAAAACGACAGAAATTATCGAAACGACTTTTTGAACCATATCATAAAAATAGAAGATGTAACTCATAAATTAGACAAAGAAAAGGTGCAAACACAAAAATGTAGTAAAGAGAGGAAATGTGTGTTTCATCGAAAGACAAAGTCTGATAACCTTTATGGCCCTCCCATCATTATCCTCATTGAAATTTTTAGTTTTTCGTCCCCACCTGATTCTCCAATTCTGGGAATCTAGGTCTAGGCCGAGAGTCATTGTTTCGGGATCGGAATCTTCGTGGAAAAAATTACTGTTTTAGTAATTAATTTTAATTATTTTTAGAATTTAAAAAATAAGAAGAGCAATAAATATATCAAAATTATTATTTACTTGTATAAATAATTAGTTTATTTAGTGAAAAAAATTTGAGATATATTTGTTAGAGATAAATAAATAAATAAAAAGAGAAAGAAAAATATATGTGTAAGAAAATTGAAGGAGAATTTTTAGATAGAGAAAAAGATTGAGTAAAATATATATATATATATATATATATATATATTTTACAGGTGAAACAACAAACAGAAACTAAACAAGAGAAATAGTAGAATAAAAAAGAACTATCTTAGAAATGACAGGAGGCACTTCTTCAAACCAAAAGAGATTCAAATGATGCGAGAAAGCAAGACGAGCAAGTTGGTGAGCTAGATTATAAAGAGAACGAAAAGTTTGTGACAAAACTAAAATTTTAGAGAGAGAAAAATAAGAGTGATATGTTAGATAGAGATTTGAAAAGTTACGAGAGAGATAAATAATAATAAATATTCAAAATTGAATTGGTTAGAGAGAAATTTGGGTAGTAAAAATTTTGAGTGACAAAAAAATTTGTTAGAAAGAAAAAAGGAAAGAAATTGAGCATTAGAAGAAAAGTGAGGTTTTGAAAATACAAAATTTGCTTTTTATTTTTTTAAAAGCTTCATGTTAGCCCCAGCCGTAGAGGGGAGAAAAGAAGACTGGAGAGATATGAGGGGTTCAAATACAAAACCTCGCACTCTGATACCATGTTAAGGATGCACCACTCAACCAAAAAACTTAAACTCATGGATTGAGTAAATTTAATTCATATATTAGATATCTAATAATTCATACACTTGTGAATTCGAATAACAAGTTTAAAGAACTTAACACATACTAGAGGGTTTCTACTAGTTCGCCCCAATCTTGTTGGGACTATGTTCAATCTTCTGGTAGGTTCTACTATGTTTCAAAAAAATTATCATGGAGATTTCTCTCTCCTGAGGAGATCTTACACAAGCTACCACCTACCATATCTACTATGTTTCAAAAAAATTATCATGGAGATTTCTCTCTCCCTGAGGAGATCTTACACAAGATACCACCTACCATTCCTATTTTTCTTCTAAGCATACCAATAATGTTGTATTTTTTCTTACAATTTTATAGATTTTTTTTTTGCAATGCTATAAAAATATAGATGTGTACTTTATATGAAGAAAAAAAGGCATAAATTCTTCCTAAAATTATGAACCATACATAGCTATAATTAATTAGTAGCGTGTTAAAGATCACACATTGAAAAGATAAAGACCTAATAACTGTCTATAATATAAGTGGACTACTCCTCTCATTGTCAATTGGTTTCGAGATGAAACCTATGAATATTAAATATAACGTACCCACCACCATTAACTTTTTTTATAACTACAAGAAAATAGATCAAACATCGAGATTTATGCTTTGTCTCAAAAGAAAAACAGCTCTCAAGTTTTTACCGGGGAATTACATATGAGTAGAGAAATAATACTCTAAAATTATATAAAGCATAAAAGAGTTTATTTGTTGAAAACACAGTTTATCAACACACATAAAAGCAGAAACCACCAAGGAAATAAAAGCTGCATACAGCAGCATTATTCAGTACATTAATCCCATAAGATTCAGTCTTGTTTTCCATATTTATTATGGATCACACAGCTTCCTGTTCTGTCAAGAACGTGTAGTTATAGCAATTGCTGCCAATATAGACCCCATCATCGAAGTGTTGAATTACCACTTTGCCATTGGTGAGAACATCTCTTTGAGTGTAGGAGTAAGGGATGTCGATGAACCCTTTTGTGGCCAACACTTTGGCTCTCACTTTTGTCATCGGCGGCACCGTAACTTCGTGCTCGACCTCCCTCCGAGTCTTCGTCTCCTTCGTTTCTCCCCACGTTCGTTCCTCTCTGAAGTTGGCTGACACTTCCAATTCCGTACTCTCGACCTCGACCGTGATCTTCATCCCTATCTTCGTCGCCACGGAGTTCGTCCATGTCAATGACTTCGTAT